CCTCCTCCTCCTCCTCCTCCTCTTCTTCTTCTTCTTCTTCTTCTTCTTGTTAAAGGGATTAAAAACTACTTTTCATAGCTTGTTTTATAGTTAGCTTTGGGATTAAATGTTGTCAAAGTCCTTTCATCTTGCTTTATTTTTATTTTTTTGGATTGCATGTGCTTTTCTAGGCGCATTCTGCATTCTAAAGGGGAATTGAGTGAAGATCGGCATAAGCAATATGAAGAATTTGCTATGTCTTATCAGAAGCTATTGGCAAACTCTCAATCTTTAGCTGATCTCCTCGATGAAAATATGCCAGATCTCCCTCAAGACAAACCGGTGCCAGAAGGTATGTAAATAATGCAGTTTTAAAATTCGACGAGGTCTACTGCCTTTCTTTCAAATAGTAAATCCTTGCTGACTCTTTAACGTTCCCCCACTGATTTTGTTCCCAGTTTATATCTTTTCGCATTGAAGTAGGAAGTTCGTAACCGAAATTCCGACTTCATTGAAATATTTGATGCCTTTTGTATGTTTAAATTGCAGAACATGGTCCCGGAATCGATATTTTTACCCCTGGCAAACCTGGCGAATATGATTTGGAGGGTGGAATCTGGGAAGACGAAGATGCCAGAAACTTCTACGAGAACCTTATTGATTTAAAAGCATTTGTGCCGGCTATCTTGTTTAAAGACAATGAAAAATGTTCTCAGACCAAAGATTCTGGGAGAGACGACTCCAGAGGTGCAGTATTTGGTTTTATCTAACTGAGATTACGTCGTGGAGAGGGAGGTGGATTTTTATTCTGAGCTGTGATTAGGGTTAGAATGGCTAGGCTAGCTTAGGAGGATGTGCAGGTTTTCTCACTTTATTAACTCTGACTATATTAGTATACCGTAACGAATCATAGAATACGTTAATAGTGGCTCAATGCACAATAAGAAATCATAGATACAAAAATACTGGATTGCATTCAGCTAAGAAACCATGACTTGTTTGCCATTCCTTGTTAAATTGTAATAGCTCTTGCAAGTCATGGCACCTGCTTGCAACCATGGAACTTACAGTAGTGGCCAAAATTGTGGAAACCTTTTTGGGAAAGCGTACAGTAGAAATGCCACCTTTGGTTAAGTTTCCACCCATTTTTCTTCTAATTTCTTTGTAACTGTAGCCTTGTTCACTTAATAATACTATTTTATATTGCTTTCTGGGCAACCAGTCAACTCTTTGCACCATTCCTTTAATTTTATTACGTTTTACAAGCTCACTAAATGAAAGAACCACAAAAAATCCCCAACCAACTTGATAGCCATCACATAACACACTGACAAATGTCCTCCTCTCAGCTTCAATACAGGACATCAATCACTGAATCTTACTGTGATCCGATTGGCTCATGGCCAAAACAAGATGACACCTGATTGGCTCTCTAAACGCTCATGCTCATTGGCTACAATCAGATGAAGGAAAGCTACCTGAGATCAACCTAAGCAAGTTGTGCTTCCTTTTTCTGATTATTTGGCTGTAACTTTTCATAGAATACAGTGCAGATAATTGAACAAACTGTGTTGCATTACATTCTTGATTAAATTATCTTTCCAGTGATATATAATTTTATGGTTCTACTCCCAAAAAAAGTGGTGTTATTAGCCATCAAACCTCAAAAATACACTTTTCCCAAAAGGTTTCCACAATTTTGGCCACTACTGTATTGTAGAAATGGGTTTTGAAAAACGCTGCAGGAATTCTTTGCAAATCTTATTTTGAGCCAAAGTAAAGAGGGTTGAATTTCCGAACCATTTTTCTCCCACTTTGTTTTTTAGCTGTCCAGTTCAATGATATGCAGAAACAAATCAAAGATAAATAAAAATATACAAGATAAATAACGCCATAAGCAAGCCAGATTCCGTAAACCAACAATAGGCTTGTGGCATATACCTAAGTAGGGGTAATTTTGAATGGATTTGAGCAAACTACGGTGTAGCTTAATGCTATGTATAAATGTGATCTTTGCCAGTGTTCAGTTGTTATGTTAAAATAGTAACAGGTTTTTATCTTCTGGCAGGAATAGGAAAAACACTTCAAACCTCTTTATAAAAAAAATATATGAAAATGTCTAAGCTTTGGGGACCAGATAAATGGTTTTATTATTTCATCTGTATCTCTCTCTCTGCTTTTATACTTTCATCAGAAAAATAAAGAGATCGATATATGTTATTTGAAGGGCAGGGTAATATGTGGATCTAATTCTTTTTGAAATAGAAGTAAAAGAAACTAAGGAAAACAAAGATATAGCCGGCACCGAAGATCTGGAACTGGAACTAGAAAATTTGGATATTAATGACGAGACCCTTGATTTAGATTGTGGGGATGAAGCAGAAGATCTCACAAAAAAACTTCTTGACGAACAAGGTAAAAAGGACGTGGAAAAGTTTGTTATTCTTATTAATTGGTAGAAATGGATCTAAACAGTAGGCATACCCTTTTAATAATATGGATAGCCTTGTGGATATGTTATATATACTTAGTACACACACACACACACATATACAGTACATACATACACTTCTAGGTTGCTTGCAAGGTTAAGTTGCAGTATCACTGTGTGTGTGTGTGTGTGTGTGTGTGTGTGTGTGTGTGTGTGTGTGTGTGTGAGTAATACCACAATTTAACCTTGGAAGCAACCTAGAAGTAAGGAGAAATTTCCTAACAGCGAGAACAATTAAGAAGTGGAATGGCTTGCCTCCAGAAATTGTAGGTGCTTCATCATTGGAAGTTTTAAAGCAGTGGTTCTCAACCTTTTTAATGCCGCGACCCCAACCGGTCGTAAGTCGAGGACTAAACCAGTTGTAAGTCAAGGACTAAACCGGTCGTAAGTCGAGGACTACCCAACCGGTCGTAAGTCGAGGACTTTCCCTGCCTGGGAGCGCTGCGCATGCATGATTCCGCCCCCTGCGCCGGCCAAGGCGTAGCTGGCAAGTGGCAGAGATGGAGCAGGCCGACCACCAGCTGGCCCAGCCCAAGGGAGGTAAGGCACCCGCCGGAAAAGGGGGAAAAAATGGCGGACAAAAAAAATGGCGGACAGCCTTGCTTGGCGACCCCCATGAAATGGTCGATCGACCCCAAATGGGGTCCCGACCCACAGGTTGAGAACCACTGTTTTAAAGAAAAGACTGGGCTATATTTGTCTAAAATAGCATAGGGTCTCCTGCTTGAGCTAGGGTTGGACTAGAAGACCCCCCCAAGGTCCCTTCCAACTCTGTTATTCTGTTAACAATTCTACTGTGTGTGGGAGCAGTAAATATCCTCTTGACAAGAGTTGGATCATGACGAAAAGGTAACATCTCTTCTGCTTTGTGTGGGAGTGGACACCTGATTGACGATTGTATCATTTTTCCATTGAAAACATTGGCCAATAATTGTTTCAAGCAACAGGGAAAACAAACAGGGTTTGTTTGCTTTCATTGAAACAATATCACTTTTTTCATGTTGAGATAACTGGTTGCTCACACCCAACGGCTTTAGTATCAAGATTTCCGATGTCTGTTCGCATCACATTTAACACTTGCATGTTGAAGAAAGTAAATGTGATATTTGAGGCACAGCTAACTCTTCAATAAAACCCCTATTAACATTTTTAACCCAGACGAGTATCAGCCCTTGATCAGCCTAATGGAGGATTAGCAATTGTGGACTCACTTTCTAATCTTGCTTCAGTCGCATTCTTTAAAAGAGGAATGTGAAATGCGTTGTCACTTACCTCACCGGATTATTAGGGTGAATGAGATGGCTTGTAAAGCACTTTGTATGGTTAAAGGCACCTGTAATGGGACACATGTCTCTGCTTGTGAGAAAGATGAGTCACTTATATGAACATGAGAAGTATTCATCCGTTTTTTGTTTAGTGAGTTTCCTTTGCAATTGTAAGCAAGTTGAATAATAAGCGTAAACATTTCCCTTGTCCATGATGAGAACAATTATTCTAATTTGACAGAGCAATTAGTCAATGGAACGACTTTCCTCCAGAAGTTGTGGGTGTTCCAACACTGGAGGCATTTTAAGAAGAGACTGGATAGCCATTTGTCCAGAATGGTGTAGGGCAGTGGTGGCGAACCTTTTAGAGACCGAGTGCCCAAAACCTGGCCCCGCCCCCACCCTGCTTCCCGCCCTGTCCCGCCTGCCCGCAGGGCCACTCACCACCTCCAGGGTCTGCTGCAGATCACAGACATGGCAGCCAGGCAACCCAGCAGCGCTATGGCGGTCACGCCCGCTGCCCGCGCCCTGCAGCATCAACTGTGCACGATGGGGTGTGAAGGCAGAGTCTTGTCTACACTGCCTGGCTGCCATGTCCTTAGCTGCGCTGCTCCGCGTGGGCCACACTCGAGGGCGACTCTCCTTCAGGGGGGCTGCTGGAGAGGAGGGGGTCCTGGGGGGAGGCGAGGCTGGGGCAACGGCACGTGTGCCCACAGAGAGGGCTCCGAGCGCCGCCTCTGGCACCCATGCCATAGGTTCGCCACCACTGGTACAGGGTTTCCTGCCTGAGCAGGGGGTTGGACTAGATGACCTGCAAGGTCCCTTCCAACTCTGTTGAATTTGAATTTGAATTTTATTAAATTTATACCCCGCCCTTCTCCCGGAGGACTCAGGGTGGCTTACAGCCAGTTTAAAAACAATAATACAATACCATACAAAATTTAAAAATGATTAAAAGTAAATATTTGAATAGGCCGCTTCTACTAAAAATTTTGTTAAAACCAATTAAAATACCCCTAGGCCAGTCCTGCCCGCTGAAATAACCAAGTCTTGAGGGCGCGGCGGAAGGAGGGGAGATCCGGAATCACCCGGATCTCTGGGGGCAGCTCGTTCCAGAGGGTGGGTGCTCCGACAGAGAAGGCTCTCCCCCTGGGTGTCGCCAGCCGACACTGTCTGGTTGACGGC